GTTAAATGATTCAGACCCAAGTTTGGTCCCATTTCTGTAGTTACATGATTCAGACTGAAGTTTGGTCCCATGTCTGTAGTTAAATGGTTCAGACTGAAGTTTGGTCCCATGTCTGTAGTTAAATGATTCAGACTGAAGTTTGGTCCCATGTCTGTAGTTAAATGATTCAGACTCAAGTTTGGTCCCATGTTTGTAGTTAAATGGTTCAGACTGAAGTTTGGTCCCATTTCTGTAGTTAAATGGTTCAGACTGAAGTTTGGTCCCATGTTTGTAGTTAAATGGTTCAGACTGAAGTTTGGTCCCATTTCTGTAGTTAAATGATTCAGACTGAAGTTTGGTCCCATGTCTGTAGTTAAATAATTCATACTCAAGTTTGGTCCCATGTCTGTAGTTAAATGATTCAGACTGAAGTTTGGTCCCATGTCTGTAGTTAAATGGTTCAGACTGAAGTTTGGTCCCATGTCAGTAGTTAAATGATTCAGACTGAAGTTTGGTCCCATGTCTGTAGTTAAATGATTCTGACTCAAGTTTGGTCCCATGTCTGTAGTTACATGATTCAGACTGAAGTTTGGTCCCATGTCTGTAGTTAAATAATTCATACTCAAGTTTGGTCCCATGTTTGTAGTTAAATGATTCTGACTCAAGTTTGGTCCCATGTCTGTAGTTAAATGATTCAGACTGAAGTTTGGTCCCATGTCTGTAGTTAAATAATTCATACTCAAGTTTGGTCCCATGTTTGTAGTTAAATGATTCAGACTCAAGTTTGGTCCCATGTCTGTAGTTAAATGATTCAGACTCAAGTTTGGTCCCATGTCTGTAGTTACATGATTCAGACTGAAGTTTGGTCCCATGTCTGTAGTTAAATAATTCATACTCAAGTTTGGTCCCATGTTTGTAGTTAAATGATTCAGACTCAAGTTTGGTCCCATGTCTGTAGTTAAATGATTCTGACTCAAGTTTGGTCCCATGTCTGTAGTTACATGATTCAGACTGAAGTTTGGTCCCATGTCTGTAGTTACATGATTCAGACTGAAGTTTGGTCCCATGTCTGTAGTTAAATGATTCAGACTCAAGTTTGGTCCCATGTTTGTAGTTAAATGGTTCAGACTGAAGTTTGGTCCCATGTCTGTAGTTAAATGATTCAGACTCAAGTTTGGTCCCATGTCTGTAGTTAAATGATTCAGACTGAAGTTTGGTCCCATGTCTGTAGTTAAATGGTTCAGACTGAAGTTTGGTCCCATGTCTGTAGTTAAATGATTCAGACTCAAGTTTGGTCCCATGTCTGTAGTTAAATGATTCAGACTCAAGTTTGGTCCCATGTCAGTAGTTAAATGATTCAGACTGAAGTTTGGTCCCATGTCTGTAGTTAAATGGTTCAGACTGAAGTTTGGTCCCATGTCTGTAGTTAAATGATTCAGACTCAAGTTTGGTCCCATGTCTGTAGTTAAATGATTCAGACCCAAGTTTGGTCCCGTTTCTGTAGTTAAGTGATTCAGACTGAAGTTTGGTCCCATGTCTGTAGTTAAATGATTCAGACTCAAGTTTGGTCCCATGTCAGTAGTTAAATGATTCAGACTGAAGTTTGGTCCCATGTCTGTAGTTAAATGGTTCAGACTGAAGTTTGGTCCCATGTCTGTAGTTAAATGATTCAGACTCAAGTTTGGTCCCATGTCTGTAGTTAAATGATTCAGACCCAAGTTTGGTCCCGTTTCTGTAGTTAAGTGATTCAGACTGAAGTTTGGTCCCATGTCTGTAGTTAAATGATTCATACTCAAGTTTGGTCCCATGTCTGTAGTTAAATGATTCAGACTCAAGTTTGGTCCCATTTCTGTAGTTAAATGGTTCAGACTGAAGTTTGGTCCCATGTCTGTAGTTAAATGATTCAGACTGATAATATATTCCTAACTAACTCTTAATACAAAGTTTGTATCTTTAGTTTTACCAGTAAGTCATTACTTTGGGTCTAGATCTATTTCTTTGGCAAGACTTTACATTTGCATTTAGCTCTGGATCATTTTGCAAGTGAGAGCACATGAAAGTTTTACAAATATTTTCTTACTGAAATTCCTGATAAAATTGAGCTATGTTGACCTGGAACAGAGAAATCTTTCTATATTATATACGTATTATAATGTACAATTCCTTATCATACATGAATGCATATAATCTTTGAATTATAAAACTCGCTGTTTATACAACAGACGGAGGATTTTGGCATTCATTGTCAGTCAGTCATATTTAAATCTTGTTGAATTTCCTCTACTGCTCTGAATAAGCCTGAAATGTATGTCAACTCAGTGTGAAATGAAACCAAGTAGAATTAAGTCTTTAATTGCTGTTCAACAATATCCCCAATTGTAATTAAAATTCAAGGACATTTAAACCTGACAGCACATATGTGTAAACATTCGGTTTCCTTGGATCATAATATTGAAGAGTGATTGATTACATTATTATGTATACAAACTTACGGTGAATTATGTATAAACAAGAATTAGGGTTTGAATTGGACAAAGGTGACTGTACCCTGATGTTATACCAATTGTAATAGGTTTTAAGGATACAGAAATGTACATGTAGTACGTTATGTATTGTATATGTAGGTATATGTATTGTGCTGAAGTCACCCCATGATGGTTAAACATAAAAATAACAGCTTTAAATATTACCGTCGATATCCAGTTATATGCCAACCCATATCCATTGCTGATGAATAGAATTACTAATAAATACTTTTAATAAGCTGACTCCCTGACTTTGTTGATGTAGCTGAATTAGGCAGCTTAATTCATTATTTAGCACTGCTGTATCTAATGCTAAATTTGTGCTAAAAGGTGCTTTTCTTTTGTCTTTTGTAAAAAATATTTTGAGTCAGAATTTAAATATTGGCACTTCAAAACCTTGTTGCAGGATAATTAATGCTGTCAATATTCATAAGTTGTACTGCTTTTCTGTTTTTTGTCTTTTTTTAAATGTTTTGAGTCAGAATGTACATGTTGGCTCCTAGAAGCCTTGTTGCAGGATAATTACTGTCAATATTTATAAGTTGTACTGTGAAATTGATGAAATACAAGTAGAGAATGACTAATGTAGACATTTGAGATTGTATAAATAAGTCATTTAGTGTTTATAGCTTAATGTATGCTACGTTTTCAATAGTGTCAAATTGACATCATTTTATGACATTTGTGTAAATATTGTAACCTTGTGTTACAACATTACTTTTTGTGTACTGAATTAATCTTAAGATAGAAATTTGACGAATCTAGTTAAGACCAATTTTAGAGTGTAATGAATGTGGATTGAATGACACAAGTGAATCAGTGCAACATCTGTCACAGCTGAACAGTCGTGCGACAATTAGAATTTAAAACTATGTGGCACTAACCAGAGATGTATACCCCTTGTTCCATTGTGTGACCCTAACCAGAGAGGTATGTCCCTTGTTCCATTGTGTGACCCTAACCAGAGAGGTATGCCCCTTGTTCCATTGTGTGGTCCTAACCAGAGAGGTATACCCCTTGTTCCATTGTGTGACCCTAACCAGAGAGGTATACCCCTTGTTCCACGGTGTGACCATAACCAGAGAGGTATACCCCTTGTTCCATTGTGTGACCCTAACCAGAGAGGTATACCCCTTGTTCCACTGTGTGACCCTAACCAGAGAGGTATACCCCTTGTTCCATTGTGTGGTCCTAACCAGAGAGGTATACCCCTTATTCCATTGTGTGACCCTAACCAGAGAGGTATACCCCTTGTTCCACTGTGTGGTCCTAACCAGAGAGGTATACCCCTTGTTCCATTGTGTGGTCCTAACCAGAGAGGTATACCCCTTGTTCCATTGCGTAGTCCTAACCAGAGAGGTATACCCCTTGTTCCACTGTGTGGTCCTAACCAGAGAGGTATACCCCTTGTTCCATTGTGTGGTCCTAACCAGAGAGGTATACCCCTTGTTCCATTGTGTGGTCCTAACCAGAGAGGTATACCCCTTATTCCATTGTGTGACCCTAACCAGAGAGGTATACCCCTTGTTCCACTGTGTGGTCCTAACCAGAGAGGTATACCCCTTGTTCCATTGTGTGGTCCTAACCAGAGAGGTATACCCCTTGTTCCATTGCGTAGTCCTAACCAGAGAGGTATACCCCTTGTTCCATTGTGTGACCCTAACCAGAGAGGTATACCCCTTATTCCATTTTGTGGCCCTAACCAGTTAGATCAGACTTATTTTCCACTGTGCAGCACAATTTAGATTTCAAAGGTACTGTACCTAATCTGAAGTGAGGTCTGCTCAGTCTGCATCACAAGGACACTAAATCAGTGAGGCTAGAAGAAAGATTTGTCAGTCCATGTCACTAGCCAGTACACAGTGTTTCCATATATAGGAAGTTTGATTACTTTGAAGAGTACTTAATGCTGCACAAACAGACCTATCTTATGTGTAGTGTTATTGACCTAACAACAAATCTACAGCTACTCTTTCACCTGCATGGAAGCTGGTACACAGCAAATCTTAAAAATATTTGTTTTCAAATGGGTGCTTTTAAGTGCAAGATGATTTTCCCCACATGACTACTTAAATATCAAAGTCAAGGTTAAAATTATCATCATTTATCATGTTAAGTCCATTGTCCCTGGGTCAAAGGTCAATTATTGTGGAACAAAAGTTTGCTTTGAAATGAAGAACCAATGTTGATTTGTATCACAGGGGTGATTTGTTCGGATTAAAGATCAACGGTGGTTTGATCAAAGGTCAAGGTTCAATGTGGAATTCCGAGGTTCAAAGTCATTAGGTTACAAGTAGGGAGGTTAGATGTGTAATCTCCTGGTTCAAGATGATAAGTTTGAAGGTAGAAGTAACATGTAAAATCTTCTTACTAATTAAGTAATGAATGTTTGTTAGCTTGTTTGTCGCAAAGTTATGAAAAAAAAATTCTGGTAATTCAGGTGGTTGAGTATGAGTTTATCATGAATGTGTTTTTAAATGTGCTTATTTGTTACAGACTGGGTCAACTGGAAACAAGGGTCTATGTAGACAATGGAGAATTACCTGTTATGGTTAAAGATCTCAAACTGAAAGTCGAACAATTCAAGGAGAAACTTGAGGTAAATATCTTACATAACAATCAGTCATAGAGGTAAATATCTTACATACAGGAACCAGCAGTGATAGATTTATATATAGTGCATGATAGATATAAACAAATGATTAAGAGATTATATTGTCAGTAAACATCTTGGTTGTGTTGGATTTCTTACAATTTCATTTCCATTTTATATTTGAATTTCTGAAACTCACGAATGTTCTCATTCTAGCTTGCTAAAAATATCAAACATACTCATTTTTACACCAGTGAGTGTTTTATCACTCTTAATCAACTCCAGAAATCTTTACAGAAAACTCCAGTAATTCATTTAAAATGAAAACACTTCAAAGACGTCAAGCTGGAAAGTTTAAATAACATATTTCATACTAATCTAAAACAAACCCCACTTTATCAAATATCCATCACTTTGTTTTCCTTGATTCTTTATTGATAAGGGGTCATTTTAAAACTCCATTTACAGAAACTTCTGCTATAGTAGGATAAATGTTAAGAGGTCATGATAATGTTTAGGTCATGGAACAGCATCACCAATTATTTGACATTTGTCCCATACTTAATTGTGTACGGTGTTGCCCCCAATGACATGACTGAAATCACCTTCATTTCGAAAGAGTTCCTAATTTCAATAACTACTATATCTACTATGATTTGTTTTGGGTTAATAGAAATGTTGTACACATAATGTGTTACTGCTTAATTCTTGCTATTCTAGAGTGTGGATCACTTGAGCTGGCTTGGACTTACTAAAGATATATCCTGTGGTACGTCACTTAAACCTTTCTGGGACAAGACCCAATCCAATCGCAAAACTGAACAGCACTCCAAATTAGTGTTCGACAAGTTCAAGAAAATGAGGTAATAACAAATGTAATCAACCCTTCTTTCACATCACCTGCTACCAGCTTGATAGACTAATAGCATGTACATCTAACACCATACTGTATAATCATATATTTTTGTGGGACTCAATTTCCATGGTGTTTCTAAAAAAATTACTTTTGGTGGACACTTAATTTCATGGTCTAAAAAAGTTTTTAAGAAAATAGATCTTCTGATACTGCTGTTAACAGTTTGTGAATAAGGAATTCCTAGATTAAGAATACCCATGAAATTGATGAAAATAAATCCCTCACAAAAATTTATGATTTTACAGTACCATATTCATTTAATTATAAACATAGGGTGTGTTTAACTTATAGACTATAACTGTGATGCTGTATGATACAATGGAGTGTCTTCAAGTGTTTGATCTGTCTGTATTCTCTGTCCATTCACGTCTGCCTGTTTGTTCCTTATTTTTTTTTATATAAACCATTGTGATTAACTCTTAAACTATTTCTGTGATGCTGTATGATGTCATAATGTAGAGTCTTGGAGTGTTTATTCTGAATGTTTGTCCGTCCATCCACATCTGTCTCGCAGTCTGTTCACTGTATTTCATCTATTGCAACCTGTTTGTTTAACTATTTTCTGTAATGTTGTATAATGCCATGCATCCTTCAGATATTACACAGTACCAATCTGTTTGTATGTTTATTTCACATCAAAGATGGAAAGGATGACAGCTAGATAGTATGCCCATGCTGTTCCTAGTTGACCCCCAGAGACTGATGGGCGGAATCAAATTGACTCAGATTTTAAATTTATCAACAATGATAAGCCCATGCATCCACAGTAATAATCAGCACATATAAATTTCAATTAGAGCAATCATAGTTCAATGCAATACTTTCAAAGTGTAAAATAATTTTAATCTATTATATATGATTTCCAGTTATTTTTTTCGATATCAGCCCTAAACTGTTTACAACTAAGAACAATACAAGGTTTAAACAAGGCTTCTGAATCATTCTAATCTAGAAAGATATAAAAGCAATATCAGTTACATTTTCCATATGATTCTTATTTTCTGTCATAGAGACAGATAAATATTTGAGGCATTTGAACTATTGACGATTATAAGAAACATTTATTTTTTATTGCTTGTCATGTTTATCGCAGTTATTTTTTATTTGACTTTAAAAAAAACCATGTTACGAATAAAAGGAACATTGAAAAGACTAATTACCAGCATTTGTCATCAAATCACTAAAACAAACAGATACAGACATGAGGGTTATTTTCCTGCTGTTGACGTAGATATGGAAGAATATAAGGTCACGTCATCTATCAATAATGAATTTCATATCCACCGCAATGATATTAATGCTGATGTACTGAATTTAATCAGAATTTTATTGGTTCTTTCTGCCATTAAATCCGAGGTTCGTGCTGGTGCACCAAAAATCAGTGCTTGTGTCCTGCTCTGCAGGGAGGGAGTAATACTTGCTTCTGCTGTCATACTTGATATTGGAAGCTTAACTTGACAGGCAACTTAATTAAGGATATGATATTTTCTTCTCTTTTTAAAGAGATTTTCTTTCTCTGATGTCTTTCTTGACACTGCTTCATATTTAGTCCTTTGATGGAGCATTCACCCACTGTGAGGAAGACTTTACATTCCTGAAGTTTGTCCTCAGTGTACTGAATTCTCCCTGAAGTTAATGTACTGAAATTCACCTGAAGTTAATGCTAGTGTACTAAAAATTTACCTGACAAAAGTGCTAGTGTACTGAATTTCTGATGTTAATGATAGTGTACTGAATTCCACTTGAAATTAGTACTAGTGCACCGAAATCCACCTGAAATTAGTGCTAGTGTACTGAAATCCATGTGAACTTAGTGCTAGTGTACTGAAGAAATCCATCTGAAGTTAGTGTTGTACTAAAATCCACCTGATATAAGAGCCAGTGTTTTGAAAACCTGATATTAGTGATGATGTACAACAATCCACCTGACATATGAGCAATTATACTGAATTCCACCTGAAATTAGTGTTAGGGTACTGAAGAAATCCACATAAAGTTAGTTTAATGAATTCCACCTGACATAAGAGCAAGTATATGGAAATCCACATAAAATTAGTGATAATGTATTGGAATCCATATGAAATTAGTGCTGGTTTACTAAAATCCACTTGATATAAGTGCTAGTGTACTTAAATCTACCTGATGCAAGTGCAAGTGCACTCAAATCTACCAGACATAAGTGCAGTTGTACTGTATGGAAATTGCCTGCGCGAAGCTCGTGTTAACAATGTGTGATTCATTTGGATTAGAATTTCATGTAAGATTCTCTTTATCATGATGCATTGTCCTAAAAATGTGTTGGATTTTTATGCTATTTTTATGTAATCACTTCACATATCCAGCATTATTACAACAATGTAATTTGAAGTTGATATTCTGCCATGATTCAACAGTTTTTTTTCCGCCCCTTATGAGCTTTAAGTCTGAGCTTCAGATTACCACCAATCTAATTTTATTAGAAGCTAAGTAAATCATAATGCTACAATGCTTCATCAGTGTTACAAGATATCCAATCTCCTCTCATAATACACAGCATCGTGATACAATATCTTTTACATTGATCATCTATAAAACATCAAAGGGTGATCAGGTCAGTCTGCTATAGTTTATGGTAGCAAATTAGTTATCTTTGAGGGTTAATAATTTTCTATGGAAATGTAAGTAGGTACTTTGAGATACCGATGCTTTTATCTTCAGAAATGATTGCTACCAACTGGTCATCATCAAAGCATTCACATTTATTGAAAGTCACTGGACCTGACAACAATTACTAGGTCATTGTCTTGTAATAAGTCTGTTTCCCCTGCATTGAATATGGAGTGTTGTTTAAGCCCCTGGGCTTATTGCAAGATAAATTTACAGAATGTATTAAATAGGAATGGGCTTATTACCAGGTATACAGCTTATTGCTGGGTCATTATGGTACTAACAGCACTTTGTCAGACAACAAAACACTAGAAATCCATGCGTAGATAAATATTCGGTCTCAGGTCTCAGGACCAAGTTTGAACTACCCGGTACTCAGATATTTAAGATTTTATCTATTTGACTGAAGTTGAAGTATTTGATACATCTGTGCATCACATGGTTACTTCTTATTTTTTATTTTTTTTTTTCTGAGTGATAACCCTTATCTCATCGTATTGTTGTGTATGCCTCTGTATTACATTCTAAGTATTATTGCGTGACAGAAAATTCTTTTAACAGGATAAGTATACTTATGTATGTGCACACTTTGGTTATGAACTATGAACTTTTTACAACAAACTGATAAGTGAATTTTTCTCAAATAGATCCGTTAGAAACTAGTTTTAAGTTTTAACAATTATTGACAGAGTTATTGCCCTTTTTTCAACAACTATTAGAATAAAAACTTCTCAGGGGAATGAGTGTTGGGCTTGTCACCTGAGTGACTACTGCAGTTAAATTCAGCAGCTAGGAAAACTATTGTATACATTTGATAGCTGGTGTAAACAGCTGGTAATTGATGTTTTCACATCATTAAGTTAACGTCAAATCAGTCACATTGCCATTTCTGCTGGAAAGCTTCAGTCCTGTAATGTCATTACTCTTTCTGCAAGAATTGACAGTTTAGTGAAAACTGAAATTGAAAAAAAGTTCATAACATTGCTAAATTGGAAGAAGTCACAAGCAAAATCCAATTTTTAGATCACAGCTCCACAGATTCAATTTGTGAAAGTTCATCAACATGTGGCATTTAAAATTACTGATAGAAGTGAAGCGTTGAGTTCCATACAAGTTTAAGCAGTAAAAAATAATCTCATTATTTGGGTCATGCAATTGAAAAAAAATTAAATTGGAATTTTTTTGTCGCCGGATGTAATTTGTCAAAATTTTTCTTGAAAACATGGAATGAAATAGTATGATATTGAATGTCACTCAGAAGTTGCTGATGTATATGGATAGCAGATATGGGCTTAGTAATTGATAGATAAAAGAAGCATTTAAAGTGGATCTCTAGCTACTCTGAGTTGCCCCTGTACATCCAATTTCCTGTCCCACTGAAAGGGATTTCTACTTTCTGTCTGCTTCTGGTCAGTCTCCAGTGCTACTGCTGTCAACATTCTAGAAACAATACCTTTTCCTTCATTTGCTTACTGTCTTTCTCCTTCCTCCTGTAGGACTGCATTGTTCAAGTTGAGTTCTTTAGTGTAAAGAATGTCTGCCATCATATCTCAATTACATTCATTAGAAAACATACATGAATGAATTTTTTTAACACTTTTATTTAATATATGTTTGTAAATTTCTACATCACTTTCTATAAGGTGATTTAATAGTCAACATGTGTGTATCTTTCATTAAAAGTCATTAAATGTAATCAGAATGATAGAAATATTGATTATAATATATAACACATGATGATGTCATTGGTCACATTATGTATGACATGATGATGTCATAAGTCACAATATGTATGACATGGTGATGTCATAGGTTATAATATGTATGACATGGTGATGTCATAAGTCACAATATGTATCACATGGTGATGTGATAGGTTACAATATGTATGACATGATGATGTCATAGGTTACAATATGTATGACATGGTGATGTGATAGGTTATAATATGTATGACATGATGATGTCATAGGTTACAATATGTATGACATGGTGATGTCATAGGTTATAATATGTATGACATGATGATGTCATATGTCACAATATGTATGACATGATGATGTCATAGGTTACAATATGTATTTGTTTCACTGTTAATGTAAATAAGTAGACTTTATGATTTGTTGAAGGTGAAAAGGATGGTTCTTTTGCTGTTATTTAATTTATCATGCAATAAATTTGGACAACAGAATCACAGGGATTGTCTTACTAGCCAGGGCTAAGAAAAAGGATTGATGGCTGTTTATTCTGCCCAGTGATAGATATGGTAGGCTTTACCAGACATGTGGGCTTATCACAGGATGAATACAACGTGAAAAATGCATGGTCATCAGTATTACAGCACATGCTTTTCTGAAATAAAAATAGTGGTAGCAATTTTGCAAGCATGACCAAATCCGGGTAAAAGATTTGATGAGCAAGATATCTTGATAGACTAATATCAGAAAATCCTGACCATTATATTGTAGGTGTATCTATGTTTATTTCTCATTCTTTCTCACCTATCTGTAAAATCTAGCTGATGTTATTAATATATATGCCCTACAGCTGCGCCTTTCATCCCTAAGGGTTTATTGTGTGTAGTAAAACCTGTATTATTACATTCACGATGACAGCATAAAGCCATTATGTTCTCATCAGGGGCTGTCATCAGTAAGGTGTGGGAGGACAGGATTGAAGCTCAGGGTCACCACCTTTCAGGAGATAATCTTTTTCTCTGTAGGAGCTGATCAGTATAAATGGATTCTTATAATCAGGTTGCTAAGTGCTATTCTGAACAAGTACAAATCGCTGGGGACCATTATTGTGATACTGAGATCTATTGTTTCTGTTCTGTCAGTGTCCCATAGCGATAGTCTATTTCTTCCTTCTTGAACAAATTGAAGAAAAAAGGGAATTTGTAGATGACAGTTCAGTTTTTGCAACAAGTTTTTGTTTCTGTACTCCATGAACTTTTAGTTTCACAGTTAAATTTTTGACAAGGGGAACAAAAATCAGCTTTTGTCAGCTTTAAAATCTTCTTCTGAAAAACCAAGAATTCCAGAGTCATTATAGGAGAGCAATACTAGACTTAGATGAAGGGCTAATGTTGAGTTTAAGTTATAGTAACGTTGGCATTTAAATTTTTTTTTCTTATTTGTGATAGTGCAAATAAAAGATGTAGTAATATTGTATGACATACCCTAGTTTTTTATATGTTTTTTTTTATTCGTGCACAGACAAATAAGAAAAGATGTAGTAATATTGTATGACATACTCAGGTGTTTTGATATATATATATTTTTTATTTGCATACATACAAATAAAAGAATTTGTTGTAATATTGTCTGACACACCCTGTTAGATAGATTGCCAGATTGGTTCCTCAAATGCATTATAAAGCCTATTTAGATCAAAAGTGCTTTGGTAATTAAAATCAAATTGTTCAGTATCCTAGAGGATCATTTCATGTAATTTGTCCCTAGCATCAAAGAAAGCTCAGCTGTACAGAAACAGACAACACTTGACCACAGGGTGCTCATTTTCTGTTGTTTTCTCCGTCACAAGATTTCGTTTGGTCTTTGAGGACCAGTTGTAATTGATGTTTATACTTTCTATATTGCTGTATAGTTGGAAGTATAAATGAGAGTCTTGTAATATTGCTAAAATTGTGGTTGTAAAGATAAGGTGAAAATCTGTACAAATAATTTTTTTTCTTACAGTTAATTGAATTTACAGCAAATATATATATTACATTTTTGCTTTTTAATGATAAAGTCACATGTGAAATTTTATCTCTGCAAAGATGTTAACAGAGTCTAAATAGTCCAAAATATTAACCTCACAGAAATAATACTGCATCATATACCCTGGTGCCCTGTATTACATAAATCACTCTGATCATCTATCTGTTTGTATGTCCATCTGTCTGTCTGTCTACAATTGTATCTGGTATTATCTTAGAACTTTGAAGTCTGCAACTATTGAAGCTTGTCACAAAAAAACACTTTCAGCTTAAAAAGATACATTAGAAGTTTATGGAGCTCTTGTGCATAGATCATGGTCACTTATTTCTTAAAATAGGGAAAGATGGATTAAGTCATGATAATTGGCTTCTTGAGCTATCAGCTGTGTTCTAGTCATCTTATCGTGTGCACAATCACTGAAGCGATTTAACAACTACATATATACATGTATGCGTGAGAGATTTCGGCCAAGAACAAATAAGGAGCATTGAAAGAATTACTCATCATTATTTTAACACGGAAAAACTACGCAGCACTGCGATACTAATTTCCTTTCGGTTCAATTGATGAAAGCAATTTGTTATGCTCAGTAAATCGAAACAAAGACTCTGGTACTAATTAGTCTCATTGTTTCTCCATCTATCATGTCACGCAAACCGATCTAACGACGAAATTTCACAGAATTTCACATCATAAACAAATATTTATTATAAATATTGAAGTTGTACATATGTATTGTGAAGGGTGCTCTATGTTTTACATGCTACGTTGATGCATTGCCGTGATGATATTGATCTTTTCTTTGGTAGTTGTGTTCAAGTGACGGACGAGGTTCGAGAGTATCTGAGAAAGCCAACGTTTGACAATTGGCAATGGGATGATTCAGAAATGCTGATACTACTTCGACAGATGTACATAGACTTGGATTTCTTATCCAAATTCAACATAGAGGTAAAAAACAATTCTGCAGAGTTATGTAATACATTCACTTCTACATCAGTTCTTTTAAATGAATCCCAAAGACATTTTAAAAATTCAGAAAAAAAGAAATTAGTTGAATGACTGAAAAGCATCATTTATGTTGATAGATATCATTTACTGAAGAATTTGATACAATAAGAAGTCTATCAATCTGCAAATAATACTCCAAATTTTTTTTCCTCAAAAAATTAGCAAAGTATTCTCAAATATCTTTTTTTTTTCTGATTTTTATGAAACACAGTACCACTAACTTGTATGTATATATTATCTGAAAACTGGTAAATATTAAAACTGAAGAGGACACCATTGTTGAAACACCTTACGACTGACTTGTATGTATATATTATCTGAAAACTGGTAAATATTAAAATTGAAGAGGACACCATTGTTGAAACACCTTACGACTGACTTGTATGTATATATTATCTGAAAACTGGTAAATATTAAAACTGAAGAGGACACCATTGTTGAAACACCTTACGACTGACTTGTATGTATATATTATCTGAAAACTGGTAAATATTAAAACTGAAGAGGACACCATTGTTGAAACACCTTACGACTGACTTGTATGTATATATTATCTGAAAACTGGTAAATTTTAAAACTGAAGAGGACACCATTGTTGAAACACCTTACGACTGACTTGTATGTATAGATTATCTGAAAACTGGTAAATATTAAAACTGAAGAGGACACCATTGTTGAAACACCTTACGACTGACTTGTATGTATATATTATCTGAAAACTGGTAAATATTAAAACTGAAGAGGACACCATTGTTGAAACACCTTACGACTGACTTGTATGTATATATTATCTGAAAACTGGTAAATATTAAAACTGAAGAGGACACCAATGTTGAAACACCTTACGACTGACTTGTATGTATATATTATCTAAAAACTGTTAAATATTAAAACTGAAGAGGACACCATTGTTGAAACACCTTACGACTGACTTGAATGTATACATTATCTGAAAACTGTTGTAAATATTTAACACTGATGAAGACACTATCAGCGATGCTGACAGATCCTTATATGTAGTCTTACTGACATTGTGGCTTCCTCATAGCTTTGGATAGCATCCTGTATGTTCAGTCAGGGAGCCATTAGTATTATAGCTTCTACATGGAGACCCAGCATTTACTGGTTTCTAAACTACAACTTTATACCTTGAGCTTAAGATATCACAGCATCAGGTTACATATTATAAAATAATTCTGGTAGTGATGAAATTTATTAGATTCAGATGCTGTTAAGGTGACAGTTCAAATTTGAAATGTAATTTGTAATCGACTTTACGAGAATGGGAGAATCAGCATTGAAATCACGCATGAAAAGTCTGCAGCACCAACCATTGAAAAAAATCATTAATGTAAAATGTCTTTAATCTATTCCTTAGAAATGGCATTTAAATTGGGATTGATCAGATGTATGTGTTCCTGGTTCACCAACATTGATAGAATCAAGCAATTGATCTGACCCAGGTACCATTAGTACAGATGGAATTCATTGAAAAAACAATCGATGGGTTGGAATCTAGCAGATAGATAGCTCATTTCCAAAACATCAGTTAAATCCATATATGAAATATGAAACCAGTCAATGTCGTCAAAATGATTCTGTTCTCAATTTCTTATCATGAGAAGAATCTTGCTTAAAACCTGTTTATGTTTTCATGTATTGAATATTGAGGTAAACCTAATGGTTAAAGAAGAAATTATTTTCTAATCTATGATTTCATTTCCTTCAGATGCCTGTGCTTCACCAGTGGTTGTATGAAGTATATAAAAACTACAACAACGTGCCTTTCCATAATTTTAAACACTGCTTTATGGTCACACAGATGGTAAGACCCCTCTTGATAGTCAGATCTAATGTATTGTGTTATTTAGAATTTTGCAGTCATGTAATTTAAGCCTACAATATATGTCTTTTTAATTTCCAAATGACAGCTAATAGCTCTTTTCAATTTCAATTGTTTAAAAGAATAATAGCAATAGCAGATATTTTTATACATATATTTAATTTTTGGGTACTTTGCAATTCTTATGACAGTTATTACCTCCCCTTTTTGTTATTTTCTATTTTTTCAAGTTTTTACATTGGTACGAAAAGACACAACAAAAACCTAACATTGTACATTTTATTGGACATTTTTTGCACTAAAATGCTTAGAAGTTCAATATTCCTATGTCATCAGACAGAACATAGATCAAAACTCAAACACAGTAATACATTTCCTTTCATCCTCACACACACATATACACACTCAGGTAGTAGCTCTGTTTGATTTTAAATATTTAAAAGCATTACAGCAATAGTAAACGTGTTTATTCATATGTTTACTTTTGGATACTTTGCAACTATCCTAAAAGTTATTATCTCCCTTTAACTTTGCCCTTTGTACCTTATAATCGTCTTATCAAATGGTAATATATATGTTTTGTGTAATATTTTTTTTAATGAAAATACATACATATACATTAGGTAATGGAAAGCAACAGCTATACAGCAACTAGTTTGTAGATTGTATATCCAGTATTGCAAAGTCAAAGAGAGTTAATTGATTAAAATTCTGCCTGAAGATTACTAGTTTTAGTATCCAATTTTACAAATAAACATTGCCTTTGATAAATATATTTCTGCAAATTTTACTTTCCTGCTCTCACAATACTTTCTTTTCATTTCACACTAAACTTTCATTTAAAGAACAGAAAAGATTTTCACCTGTATTCTTTGATTAAATATTGAAATATTTGGAGGCATTCTGAATTTGGACTCATATTTTCCATTCATAAGTTTACACAGATAGTACATACTACCCAACCTGAGATGATATCGGGTTGTATGTGAGGTTTTCCAGGTACAGAAATTCTCTCCAAGAAAATGGATATATATACAATCTCTAATCAGATTCCATTTTACTCTTTCTGATGGACTATGTGGAGAATCCATATATATTCCATTGATAAAACTCCTACTCTTCTGGAACACCTGGTCTTATTCTCCTTTTAGACTTTTTTTATTCATTGTGCCTACAAATCAATAATTTTGAGTTTGTGTTAAGTTTTTGTTAACCTGTTTGTATAAGTTTCTTCATGTTTCTATAGGTGTACAGTCTTACGTGGCTTAAAGAGGTTGAATTTGTTTGAGGATTTTGCTAACATCTCAGAAAGTATTTTCTTTTGTTTCTGTAGATGTATGGTCTGACGTGGCTTATCGACACTCCATCACTCCTGGACGATCTTGATATACTCATACTCATCACCTCCGCCATTTGTCATGATCTAGATCATCCTGGCTACAACAATGCCTACCAGGTAGGGGAGATAACTGTTAAAATCACATCGGGTCGACATGATAACTGAAGTCATAAATTTACCTGTAATGTTACTGTATATTTTATCAATAAGCACACAGAGGCGAAACATAATCTTGGATTCAAAATAAGTTGACAGGCTTATTACAAGACAATGATATAGTATTTGTTTCTACTGAAACTACCCGAGACAATGTGTCTTGCTTTATTGCCAGTCATGTGCTTATTTCTGATAAACTTTAATTGGATGATTTGCATTTACTTTTCTTATAATTGGTATATTTCTTTTGTTTGTCTTTATTTTTAATGGGTATAGTACTTGTTCAGAACCTAATTACCATCAACTTTTAATGTGGAATTTTCATGGCCACATTAAATACTGAATACAATTTTATTTTTGTATTTCAAGCTTCAGAAAAATAAAATTGAAATTCTGATAATTAATATGTTAATAATATACAATGTTCAGCTGCTCTTTCTGGTGGAATAATTTGCTTTCTGAAATTATGAAAATAAATAAAAAGAAATTAAGAAGGTTAATTGATTATTGAGTTCAGGCAGAAAATTGAGTCTCATTCTGAAATCTGTTTAAAACTGAAAGATATGCAAGAATGTCATTGTTTTTTTGATAGATTTTAGCTGGTTTCAAGACTTTTTAAGATAAAGAATTTCGCCTTTTCATGATAGGTAAATGCGAAAACTGAACTAGCCCTGCGATACAACGACATATCTCCTCTAGAGAATCATCACTGTTCTGTAGCTTTTGAGATCCTAGAAAAACATCACTGCAATATCTTCCGTAACCTTCCAAAAGAACAGTACAGAAAAGTCAGAGAGGGCATGATCAGGTAAGTGTGGTAGGAGTAGACTTATTAGGGAGAAATATTGACTGTGATACCATGACAGATGTAATGTGACCCCAAAACTTGAAATCTTGATTTCGAAGGGGATGTCTTCTATGTTGAAAGATTATAACAGTCTGCATTCTGAGATATAGATCTTAACTAACATTGGTCACCTGGTTCAGTGGAACGATGAAAATGGAAGGTTTTGATGGCATCCTTTATTTTGTCACTAAAATACACAGAATTCATTGATTTGTGAAATGTAACACTCGTACAATATTCCATCCACATTATACTGCTTGACTAAGGAGAATTCAAATTGCAGCATTTAAATAAATATTGACCTCTGTTACATATATTTATACATATATTGAGGGGCTTGTATGAAAATGAATAATTAATGCAATATTAGATATGACATTCAGATCTAAAGTGGTTTGATAATAGCTGTTTGCTCTGGCCTTAAAAAACGTTATTAAGTAACATTGACTGGCAATTAAATGGACCGGAACACATAAAAGAGATGACATGTGATTTTAAGGTTGTTTAGTTTGGTATCCAATACATAAAAAATATGTATGTTATGATGGTATTGTGTCCTTATTTGTTGAGTATATCACTCCCTGAACAGCCAGGGTCAGTTTGCGGAAGGTTTGGGTCTTTTTGTTGAAACTCATGGCGACCTCACTGAAAAATATATGAGAGTCGCCACCAGCCTGTTTCTCAGCACCTTGAGAAACACATGGTTTGGGAGCATCAAACAACACATCTTGCAACTTTAACTGAAGTTATTTAGGCCTTGAGCACTGATTGACTGAACTGTTGTGGCCCATTATGCCTAAAACTACATGTATAATTACAAGGATTTAATTTTGATAAGCACCATTGATGGTCTGTCATAACTATCCCAATCCAATTAAATAATAAAAATCATAAAAATTCATTTAGCAAAGCTGAAAACAAACGAGTGTTTTAGTTCTTCTTAATCTTGTGTTAGAGAAGCAGGCCCTTGTTGCTTGTATGTCTCTGATCCTCAGCTGACAAAACTAGCTTCTTGAAAAAAATTGCTGGAGTTGTGGATTATCAAACATTTTAGTAAGAGTAGGGAACAATACATTCCTTTAGAGAGCATCATCACAAGCTCTCCTGCATGATAGTTCCAAAGTCCTACCAACTTAGCCAAACAAGCATGCTCTGTTAGATGAGAGACAGATCTAGCAAGGTTTACAAGGTTGTATAGATGAAGTTATTTGTTAGATGTAGACTATGTAACATCAAAATCTTACTGGATTGAAAATATGACCAACAAGAGACTGAATTATGATGGTAAATTTTTTTTAAAATCTTTTTTTAATTTAGGTGCATCCTTGGAACAGATATGGCGAAACACAATGAGATACTCAGCAGTTTCTCTGCAATCAATCACACATCGAAGTTTGATTTCCAGAACAAAGAACACAAATCTCTGGTAAGTATTATGTCTGTGTTGTGTAAATATTCTGTGCTGTCAGATTTTAGAAGGTGATTATCTTTAACCTTTGTGGCCATATCACTTAAGGATATATCTGTGTACTTCATTGTCTTCAGTTTCCAATTTTCGGTTTAAGTAGCTTCTTGGGTTTGTAAGTGTCACATCCAGAAATTTTGTCACAACTAAGTCAAGTAACGAGCAGCTTTCCTATGGTTTATGTGTACCACTTTCAGTTGGGGAGTTTCACTCAAAGTTTGATAGGTGGATGGGGTAAGGGATGGGGGGGGGGGGGGGCGGAGTTGGAAGAGGGCTTATTACAGGACAAGGCAAATACATAACCTTTCACTTAAGTCAGGTGATAATTTATAATAAAACATATATTGCATCTGTTTTAATTTTACATAACAACAGATACAAGTGTCTTGATTGTTAAATAAATTAAATGCATGACAAACTATTTTGTTACATTATTTATCCTGTAGTTTCATTGGATAAATGATTCTCAGTCTATGATTAATAATATTTTTATATTTTCAGAGCATGAATTAATTAACTTTGCCTAACACTTGCTTTTCAATGTTACATTTACATAATGATGTCAAGTTATGATGTCACATCATACACAAAACTGTATTTTTTTTTATATATATATTTTGATACTTTGAAGTGAGAGCTCCGCAGTGGAAGTTTCATTGGTCCACGACAATAATACAAAATGAGTATATGCTGTATCAATGCTTCTCCATTTTTCTCTAGATGATGATAATATTGATGAAGGTATCCGACATTTCTAACGAAGCCAGACCCATGGATGTAGCAGAACCTTGGCTTGATTGTCTGTTAATGGAGTTTTTCAATCAGGTCAGAGGGTGTTCAGAAGAGATCAATGGATTCTCAATCTTACTGGCTGTAAAACTTGTACATTTGCGAGCATTTGTTTTCATTTTGGACTTGATTTTTTCCTTACATCTATATTTGAGCCTGCCTGCATCGTTGTTGTAGTAAATTTTGTTTGTCTCCACTCCCCTCTTATTTTCTTTTCCCGTAACCAAGACAGTAAAATTTAGGCAGGAAAGTTCAAAGAACAAGATTTGTATGGTCTTTGAACTATAATCAATGATGATATTGACAAATTTCTTGGCTTGTATTGTTATTTGCATAATACAAAATTATACTTGATCAAATTGAGGGCTTTATGTATTGGATTTAAAATCAAAATGACTTTTGAAACAAAACGTTATAAAGGCATATTTTCTGCAAATTCTGCAAAAAATATGGAACATTTCATGTAAAAAATATCTTGTTATCAATTTCATCAGGGATTGATGAAATTATCACAAATTTTGTTAATTGGAACTTTACTGGTGCCTAGTAAAAATGTTTTAAACTCATTATAATTCTCATCTGAGAAAGAAACCTACATTGATCTTGTATTCTGCCTATATACTGTACAAAAATTCTATGTAATCATATATCTATCTGGCAGCAGAGAATCTCCAGCTTAAACATCACTGTTTTGGTTTGGGTTTATGTTTCAGTTTACCATTGTAGCTGAATATTCTTTGATTTTTATTCTGAATAGCAGCTGTCCAGGTGATGCACCACACCCTCCTCATCAATCTTTAGAAATTCTTCATCAAATGCTGTATTCATTAAGTGCACTATTGTCTTCGCATTTCCTGACTGGATTCAGAGAATAAGCCCTTGTCGTGTTTTTGCACTGTCAGTATATTCTGGCTAAATATAATGAATCTGATGCTATCTCAGGGATCATTGATGTAGATCGGGCAATGAAAAAATGCTTCAAGATCTGTTATACTAGTGACCTATATGCAAAAGTTTACATGGTGAATTAAGTGTGATTTTAAATTAACATATACACAGGAGAGACATTTTTTCGACAACAATTAAAACTGGTCATCAATCTCTTCTTTGCCACGTGCTAATTCCCAACAATACCCGCAAAACATAGTTATTGTTATAAGAAAAAGCTGTTATTGTTATTTTTAAAAAAAAAATTTGGTATTTCGAATTTTTGATACAGAAGCTTTTAATTTTTTTCCTAAATCTCTAGAAATGGACAATTTCTTCAATCTCACTTTCAAGTTATTTATTTATTTATTTATTGTGGTTTTACTCAGTTCTGGAAAATTGCAAAAAATTGAACCCTTCAAAAAAAAATGACCTGGACAGCTTGTTGAGAGAAGAAATCAGGGACCAGACTCTGAACCATGAACATTGAGTCCACCATAGCATCTGGTATTAAAAATGTATTTCAAACTTCAAAGATCTGGATCAGATTGATAATTGCTTACAAGATGGCAAAAGTCTTGCTTCCAGCTCCAGGGTACCTGAACTTTGATAAACACACATAAGTTTTACACCTTTTTTGTATCAAGCTTTGTTTACTTATAATGACAAGTTTTTGTGGGGAAAAAAATTCTGTTAAATTCAATCTTAAGAAGGCATCTACAAGTTTACAACATTTATCTACATGACAGATGTAGATGTATTAAATCTGAAAATAAAACTTATTTGTACGTGATATAATAATGTTATCAAAATTTCTACAAATACCTTTTCATTTTTTTACATCAAATGGTCAATAAAGTACATTTACATAATATTCAAACCTGCAGATGAATGATGAAAATATTCAAATTAATTTCTTATAAAATTAATCCTACAAAAACTCCTCATTTAAATGTATGATGAAGGTAAAAAAAGCTTGATACAACATTTCACCTAAAAAGGAAGTTGTTTTGTTGTTGTTTATCTGTGAAAGGTTTGCATGTATCCGGCTTTGTACCCAATATACTCTATTATCTATGTTATTTTTATCAGTTATGCACTTATTCCATTCCCTGCAAAATGACTTTAAATCATGCCTCTTGGACACATTGAAGAATTCATTCATATGATGTACATTTATATTGGTACCAAATATCAATCAAGTTGACTATTATGATTAAATTCATTGTTATGTATATATTTTAATGATGGACAGCATTAAAAAAAATAGTTTGTTGTTATATTATGACACAAACATTTTAAAATCTTGTTTATAAATCAAAAGAAAATTTTAGTAAAAAACCTGAAGTCTATTCATTTTATGAGGAAATGCTGATTATTGTTAAGAATGTTATTGTAGTGAAAAAAAAAAAACTTCTTTTCCGGTATGGTTGTACAGAAATTGACTAAATTTTTCACTGTGTCCATCTGACTTGTGTATTAGATTTCTGGCTAGTAATGGTAAATGTTTTTGTTTATCCCCATCTTATTGTGTCTCCCTACTTTCTTTTGTTTTTATCAGTTCTTAATCATACTGATAAAAGTAGCTGACATTTCTAATGAATGTCGTCCCATGGATGTTGCTGAACCCTGGCTAGAATGCCTTCTTCAGGAATTCTTTAACCAGGTAAAACAAAATCAGCACTTCAAGATATATACAAAGTCTACAGTTTCTGCATTTCTGAAATTCTGTGATCATGCCACAATGATATTTCCTCACCTGAAAAGGAAGTTTATTAGGGGTAAAAAGTACAGGTATGATATGATAGCAATATCCACAAATGAAGCTCGACTTGTATGACTACAGGCATTGTAAAATCAATACTATATTAGATACAATAACAGATTGTAGTGTAATTTAGATGTAAATGTATAAAACCTTGCAATAACTTCTTCCAACAAACCATGCAACCTGGAGTCATGATATTTATATAAGGTCTTAATTAGCCAAGACCAGGTATACTTACATTGTAAGAATATTTCATTGACTGTGAGGTTTACAAAAAATGAATAATAATTTTGTTGTCTAGCTTACTGGGTTAAAATGATGCCAACAGTTCATATTTCAAGGTGTTATAGGCCTTCTGTACTTTGATACATGGATGTAGGACTATTGTTCTCAAGAATGTTCCAACTCATTGGGTTGTATTTCATTACAGAGTGATGTAGAGAAGTTGGAAGGCCTACCTGTTGCTCCGTTTATGGACAGGGAGAAAGTAAACAAGTCCTCATCACAGATAGGCTTCATCAAATATGCTCTACTGCCGCTATTTGAATCTCTCGGAGAGTTATTTCCTGTCATAGAGGTGAGCTCAGTTGTACTACAGTTTCACTGTCAAAGGTCAAGGTGACGGTAAAAAGATCAAGTTTTAAATCACCGAATCGCTCACAAATCATTTTCTAACACCTGAAGGAAAAAATACTAGTGTGTATGTTAAGGATGCCCATGTTCTTCTCTTTGGGTACGATCACATTCACAGTTTGCATTTTGGAGTTGTAAGGTCAAGGTCATTATCACTATGGACTATAAATAAACTTTATATTTCTGCTTTTCAAATTTATAGCCAAAATTGGAGAACTTAGCCAAGAGAGGCTATTTTCAAGGATTTTAGAATTGATTTCGACGTGCGTTCCACATTTTTGATACAAAGGTCAGACAAAAAGATTTTCTTCATTTGAAAGACCATTGCATATGATCTCCAGTTCTGTGCTGGATTGAATTTTTAATTCTGAAGGGTAAAAAGTCACTGTTGACCACTTTTGAAGTAAGATATCTGAGACAAGGGGTATATATCTGTATGAGACCCTGCTCACTTTGTTCTCATTATCCTGTTGTGATGAATGTCTGAGGGGATATAGGAAGGTTAGTGTATGTATATATGACCATTATATCAAGCTGAAGGTCGCCTTTTTTTACAAAAGTCTTGTCAGTACTCTGGTGTCTTCATTTCTGGAGGTTTTTTTTTTTAGTAAATAGCTTCACCACACTCTATAATGCGGACGTTTAAATTTTGGGGTTATAGAACCAGTTATGGTTAATGGTGCTATCTTTACAAAATCTTTGTCAATACTCTAGTGGTTAAACACTTACATTTAACAAGTTTAAATTTTAGGGTTGTATAGTTGAAATCAAGAGCACTTTCGCTACTTTCAGAAAATCCTAGTTGGTGCTCAGTTGGCCTCATGTCTCATATCTTGATTTTTTGTCAACTTTCAGACAATTGGCCACTGCTTATGTTAAAGTGAAGTTTTGAGAGGTTTTGAAGCATTTGCAATGTCTAGATACAATTTGATTTATTTTTGCTCTTGAACACCTATGGTTTCATAAGAGTGATGAGATTATTTCTATTTTAGACCAATTAATTAAGGGTAATCTATTTTAAGGATTCACAATATCTGTTGGACTCTTGAACTCCAGCACATGTTGATTTTATCAATCATTTGTTGTCAATATGTTGGAGTTATGCATTCAGTTCTAACCCAGCCAATTAAAAAGAGGAATTTTTATTTTAACCTCAATTTTTTAACATAATTTATCAAAAATTTGAACTATTTTCAATTGTCTGATTAGTGAAATAGAAAGAACAGCTTAAAAGGTGTTTTCAGTAATTAGTTCAGCAAAACCTGGTACATTATATGAAGCAGTTTTCTGAGGCTTGAAGATTTGAAAACACTCCAGTTCTGTCCTTGAAATTTCCAAAAGTTGACTATTATTGTTTTGAAATAGAATGATAATGATATAAAAGTGTGATACAACCATAATTTTGACTGTGACAATATATTTTTGTAGGCGGACATCATCCAGCCAGTACGAGCAGCTCTGGATTACTATACCAACATGCACAAAGCATTAGAGGAGGAGAAAAAGAAAAGAGAGAGTGTTGGGGACATGTCGAAACAGAATGGCATCAAACAGTCTAGTCAGATCTCTGCTACATGACATTGCTTCACTGCTTCACACATGACACTCGTAATGGACAAGTTTCTTTAGAGGTGTGAGCTACGTATTAGCTCACACCCGTTTTTGTATAATGGTGCAATCTCCTCTTTGTTGTGGTGGATTTCATTTTAGAATAAAGGGGACATTTTTTAAGTGATATTCTTTTTATGTTGCTGAAGCTGACAACTGTTGATTTGAATCTGGACCAGTCAAAATAATGGAGTCCATTGTTATGATGATTGAACATATGTGATACAGTCCTTTCTATGGAACTGAGAAATTTGTGAATTTTCTGACGAAAAGTTGTCCTGCCTCGGCTGCTCATGATTATCGTAAGATATGATGAGCCTCCTGTTAAAAGCTTTTTCTTAGATGTTTTGCGATATTAATATTGATTCATTTTCCCATATATGAATTTAATTACTTTTTGAATGATCTTCTTGAAGTTACTGTAATTTTTGTGTTTTTCGATTGTTTAAATTTTTTAGATTTTACGAAAAGTTAAAAGGGAAAAGGATATATTTTTCATGGAACTCATGAAACAGATTATATATTTTACCATTGGTTTCATTTTCAAGATGTATATTTTTCATATTTCTATTCCATTCTCTGAAATGGCATAAAATATAACCCAGAATCCCTCGAAAATAACAATTATTACAGTATGTAGTTCTCTGTACGAGAACAGTCATTTATAATTTGCTTTGATGGCGGAGCAATGTTCAGAAATGTGTATATTTATATACTCAGATATGAAATAATCCATTTCAGAAACTATAGAGTATGGCATTTCATTTAAAAATGTTCTTTCTGTTATAATGTTTTTATACTTTAAATTGACTCATTCATATTTATAGGTAGTTTCGTATAGAAATTTATATATTGTAAGTACTTTGTATTGTAGCAATGAAAAGTTGAAGTTGAAAATGCCTCAGTGAAATGTTGGTAGTAAGAGTGATTTTTTAAAATGTGATTTTCAAAATGTTAGAAAACTAGTATACTAAATACCACACCTTAACTAACGTTTCTGATATATCTGGTTTGATAATAAATTAATCTTAAGTCCATAATTAACCTTAAGCAATAAGCCCATTCGTATATGCGTTGTTGAAAATTATACAAATCAGTGTTATTTCACTGTCCTTTGAAGAGCTCTCCCTTTGATTTTGGTTAAGAACCTGTATGTTGGTACCCTCCTCATAATGAAAATTGGAAGTTGACCTCAGAAGTCCTTCCTGTATATAGAGGAGTAAAGGATGACTGGTGGACACAGCACATCTCTGACAAGGGTAATTGAAATTGACCTCAGAAGTCCTTCCTGTATATAGAGTAAAGGATGACTGGTGGGCACAGCACATCTCTGACAAGGGTAATTGAAATTGACCTTGGAAGTCCTTCCTGTATGTAGAGTAAAGGATGACTGGTGGGCACAGCACCTCTCTGACAAGGGTAATTGAAATTGACCTCAGAAGTCCTTCCTGTATATAGAGTAAAGGATGACTGGTGGGCACAGCACATCTCTGACAAGGGTCAGGGTGGCTGCTTATTACAAGTCAGTGAAATAACATTTATTGCTTATTCTACAGTACAGCCAACATGTAGATGTGGGCTTATTACAAGATATTGGCTTATTGTTGTGTATACCAGAAGGAATTCTGTATACATTCATCGGTCACTGACACTTGACAATCACAAAAGAGATGAGAAATACAGTGAATAGATGAAAGCAACTTTGTTATAAATACTTTATTTATGTTTATATATCTTCATTATTATTGTTCTTTGTAAATTATGAAATGTACATAATGGGACGGAGACAAGATTTCTTCCCAAAAGGCTTGTTGTTATATTGTGTGTTTTCATGGCTGGTCCACTGTCAATACACTGACATCCTCCAGAGAAAGCTTAACATGCAGATTTTCCTAGGAAGGAAAGAATTTTCAGTTCAGTGAACGGTATGTCAATATTTCTGTAGCATTTTTGTTTCTGTGAGATTGAAGAAAAGTTACACATTAAACATAATTATGATTTTGAAATATAATATCATACTTTGAAAAAGCATGTCTTTTTATACTTACTCGTAAATTAGTGACAATTTTGCTCAAACAATTTCATTTAAGTGTTTATCTCCTAAAAGTCTGCTAAACCTGTTTGAGAAAAAATCATTAGGTCATCATGGATTCATTTACAACTTATTCCTGAAAGCCAAAATTATTCTTTATACTATATAATGGGGGAAAATTGTAGAGATGTTGAGTATTGAAGAAGTATTTTTGTAATATTAATAACAGTTACTAATGAACATTTAAAAATAGTCTTCATTGAATTATCTCTGACTTAAATGATATATTTGTATTTTTACTAAAACAGAGAATGCATGTACTATTTTTTTCATGATTTAAATATACGAACGAAATGACAATTTATACATATAATTAATACACTCTGTATTATAAACTGATGAAATGTTGATTTGGCTCAGTGTAAGTCCTGCTGTTTCACTCATATTTATTCTGCAATAAGGCCAGGGGGCCACCACAACACTTCTAAATTAACGTCAGGAGGTTGGTTTATAACAGGACAATGACTTAGCATTAGGTTTTTAACAGCAATAGATATGTTGGCATATTAATTACCAGGTTCAGACATAACAATATAATGTTATCTGGTGTATTTTTCTTGTTTCTTAGACACTGACATCAATATGATAAATTGTCACTACATGTATGTGCCATGTCATGGGTTACTCATGACATGTCAGTTACAAGTTAAACAGCAATACTGTACAGGTTTCATGTTTTGTTAAAATTTGAAATAAAAATCAATTAAACGAAATTAAAAATCAAATAAACTAAAAAAATAAGATAAAATTGATTCGACAGGTGCATGATTAAAATTTGATAATTTGTTTTTTGTTGGGGAGTGATTGAAATAGTGTTTTATTAGTGTGTAAATGTGCTCAGCTTATTTAAAAAAATTGAAAACTACTGTTACTGTAAAATCATTAATATATGTGGAGATTTTATTTTTGTTATTTTTTGGGGGTAACCTAAATCCATACACTCTTTGGATTATAAATTAATATCAGATTACAAATTTTCTTAGCTTGAATTTAAAAAGTATTTTTCAAATAAATTTTTTTAAATGGATCCACCTTGTAAATTATGAACACATGAAATCATGAAACCTACAAATTAGCACTTTCATGTAAAACCATGAAAATTTAGCCCCACAGAATTAGCTACTTTTACAGTAACTGAATTATGGTACATGTCTCAATCTGGAGTGTATTATTCTAAAAACTTACTGTTTTCTTTTTTGTCATTAATGAACATTCTCCCACGGACTTCATTTGATAATCTCTATGTTAGAGTACTTGTGTTGTAGACGATATTTGTGAAAAAATGCATTTGTATTTTGCCTTTGGTATTATGGTAATAGAAACATTTCTGTTGCTGGGTTGTGAAGGTACTTAAGCAACCTGCATGATCGTCATTCATAAGCTCATTATGAAATGCCTAGATTCATGTGTTTACAAAATTAGATATTTACAAATGTAGAACATACACAGATACACACCATACTGAGTACTATATACAAACCCTGTGTAAATGGGTTGCAATTTTTTTTTCTTTTTGTTTCTTTTTTTCTGTTTTTTTTTTTTTTTTTTGTTTTTTGTTTTTTTGTTGGACACACGGTGGAAATGAATACCTCAAAATTTTTATATAACGAGTATCTTATACAAGTATTTAATATGTACCTCGGTGATATTGCATTCACGACAAAATACACTTTATTTAATTAGCTGGATATAAATGAATCATCATATAAGGTTGATAAAAAGTAACATCTTTGAAATTCATAGTTTTACATGAGTATGTGTTAGATAGTACAAACTTTTGATTACAGTCAAACCTGCCTAAGCCCCCCTCGAACACCCCCCTAACTTCCTCATCTGTTACAAATACCTGTCTATAAAGTCACTTATTTCAGTTTCCAACATAAAGGCCACATGTCTATAAAGCCCTTGTGTCTTGGCTCCTTTGAGTGGCCTTGATGAACAGGTTTGACTGTATGTTTGAGAAGCATATTTCTACTGCCCTTATATTTAGGGAGTGGTGGGGTTGGGGAGGGTTTATAGTTATCACTTTTTCTGTGCTTGTGTATTTTTGTATTCCTAAAAACATTGTGTACAAAATATTTCACATAGCATCATACCATTAAGGTCTATACCAGATTAGGTTTTGATGGTCACTGGACAAGGTTAAATGTCAGAGGTCATTCTTGACCACTTTGACCTAGAAGTGAGAGACATGTTTATGTGAACCCTTGCCCATGTATTTTGAAATGCTTCTGATCTATGTAGTAATAACTGACAGGAGCTAGGTCGTGTTTTCAGTACAGAAACAAACCTGCCTTTGTTATTTACACAAACCTTCAGTTCAGATACAACATTTTAGGTATAAATCTGGAGGGGCCTGCAGATATTAATGCATGTCTTGAAAAGCTTAGTTGAGGCTTATATGAGAAAGCAAATGAGATCAGTAGGTCCGTCCTCATTTCAGAAACAACAATAGTCTAATTAATCAAAATGATAAATAAAAGTGATATGTAATTTTGATGTCACGTTGTTATAATTTAATTGCTATATTGTTTTGATAGAATAGTGATTTCACACTATAAATGGCTTCTGTTAAAAATGGTGATAAAGGAATAGAGAATATACAATGTTTTTCATATTCATTTGAATTTTTGTCTCGGTTTTCTCATACAAATTGTAGTTCAATATGGTTAAAGTTGTTATGTTTTCAAGTATTGTTACATTCTTTGATATTTTGACATAGATTAGTGTTTAAAAGTGTTTGCGTATTTGATATTATCTAAAACTTCATTACCTGTATCTTGGATACCTTCACTGATATTACTGACTGCATGAATTTTTTCTCTGAACCACCACAATATTTGGCAGAAAGGATCCTTAGTTTTGACAGTATTTCCTGACATTCAGGAAATTGTTTTCAGCTGCTGAAATAAAAGAAATAAAAAAAGTTTAATAAAGTTAAGTTATACTAATAGTTATCAACTTGT